TCATTCGTTACATGTGCGTCACGTAGTCCTTTCCAGCAGTTCTGGTGTGTGGAGGTGGGTGACAAAGAAGACAGGTGGACAGTGCCGGGCCCAAAAGCTGCTACCACAGAGACACTAGTGGGATCTGCCCTTGACCATGGTGACAGACACAGCTTCCCCACTGCCACCATTGTACCTTGCATGTGGCTCTGCGGAGTGGGATTCACACGGACTGCAGAGCCAGAGGCTAAAACCCTGGACCATCTCTGCAACTCCGGAGGGGAAATCTCACCCGGCACCAGAAATGGCATCACCTGCAGGAGTCAGTGCTCAAAAGCAGAGGCAGAAAATGGAACAGGACAGTGTTGAATTTGATTGCCCTAATAAAGAGTTGTCAGAGGCGACAGGAGTGTGACAGAGGAAGCCTGTGGACAGGAAATGTGTCGGATGGAAACAGAGTAGGAGAGAGAGAATCTGGGGCAAGTTGGCCTGCGTACACAGTGCAGTAGCAGGACCAGCAGTGGGGAGACATCTCCAGTTAGGGTTCACCTGCTCCTGAGGGTGCAGATGCGCATGCTGGGGGTGGACTCATACTTTGTGGTTGGCGAACTGTTTCTTTGCAATACTTAGCAGCCGTGACACTGAGGGACCAATTCAATAAGCAGGGTGCAAACTACTGTGTAGAAACACACAGTAAGAATCTCTGCTCTTCCCATTGGGCTGTCCCTATGATGGTTCTTAATGGGGATACAGCTGGGGTGTCTGCCGAGCCCATTAACTTCCTCTATCTGAAAACTGCTGCCTCATCTACGAGAAATTGCCCTTTGCCACAACGGACTGTCACTTAGGATTCCGACTTGGTCTGGTGTTTGGTGGGATCAGGAATGAGCACCTGATTCAAAGTGGGCTGACAGAGGATCTGTGGGGATAAGTCAGTGACAGGCAGCAGAGGAGCTATGGAGAGTGCCATGTGTCCTGAAACTGCAGAAGCAGGTGAGAAAGGACAGAGAGAGCAGACAATGGAAACAGCCTTAAAATGAGGGTAGAAGCCTGAGTTCTTCTTGGCTTTCTTATTCCAGGATCCTATGAAACTGCTGCCCTTAAGTCCTTTTTTTAAAATGTTAAAAATATTTGTATTAGTCCACGTTTGCAGCACATAATGATTGCATTCACCATGGGGAGTCGGTCCATTGCAAAACACATCTTAATTCTTTTTACTATATTTCCCCTTCCCTCCCTCCTCCTTCTGCCCTTGGGCTCTTGCAAGATATATAATGTCTTTTTCAAAGAAACTATCCCATCTCCATTTTTTCTTGTTAGCTTGAAGTAACCTTTGATTACTTAAAATCCAAAGAAACTGGCCTGAGACAGTTGCCCCCTATGGTTCAAATTCCTCAGGTTACTGAGTTTACTTTCCAGTGCTTTTGTCCCATCTGTTTGCTGACTTGTATGTGAAGGGTACACAGCTGTCCATCAACCCTGATCATTGTTTTATCTCCAGAATCAGCCACCCTAGCAGAAAAATGAGTATCTGCTGGTATTTCACATAAAAGCTTTTCCATCACCACATCTTGCACTGGGTATGGCTGTGTCGTTCAAGGACTGAGGACTCCCCCCTAAACTTCAGCTTGTATTTGCCTCTGATGCTGTATCTACTCTGCCTTCTGATAAGCTCTTCTTCGTAATTCATGGATGGACATCTCTCTGAGACAGAATGTGCTGTATTTAGCAGTTATGCAGGGATGGATTTCCCAAAGGGCCAATGCCTTTCATTCTAGGGCAAAAATAAACCAGTGTCAAATTTATACATCAACTGGTGAAGACCTGAAGAGAAGAACCTCTCACCAAGGCTTGGTGACAGGGTAGCACACGTGGGCTCACGGTGATGAGGATTTCAGGTGCTTGAGGGCTCAGGGTGGTTTTCCTCAGAAGGTTCTCTCAGGTTGCTGGATGCTTACGGGAAAATGCAGTTTTGCAGACTTTCTAGTGGTGGGGGAGGGAAGAAGAATTTTAAATACTCTACCTAGGTGATTTTGATGTATGGAAGTCTTTAGCTGTTACCCACAAAGAAGAATGCGCACAAGCATCATTGTTACACTGTGTTTCACGATAAGCTCACTTTTTTCTTTCATGCAGTATATGTCTATTAGGAAAACCAGTCAAAGTATTTTTCCTTTTTGAAGACTGTCACTCCTGAAAAAGTGAGCACATCCCAAATTCCCCAGAATTGGGTGATATAACCCCTGGCTCAAATCTCTCTGTCCAGACAAATTGGGCTCCTTACCAGATCTGAAGGACTTGGGACTGGAGATGGAGTTTAGTTTTTCCCAGAGACTTGGAAGAAAATGAAAACGTGCTAAATGGAATTCTGTGACCCTAAACCCCCAGAGCAGAATGGGTGGAGGGGCATGATCAAACACACATGCTGGGGCTCTGCCCCGGACACACTGATCCCGCTGACCCCGAGGCTCTGTGAGAGGCCAGGGCTTTCTCACACATCGCGAGGGCTGGGGGGCCCCAGTGTCTCTACGCCCTCTTTAGTGCTTCCCTGAACGAAAGACAGTAAGCAGTCTTAGACCAGGCACCAAGGGTGTCTCTGTCCTGCTGGGCTGCTCTCTGGGCAGCATGGGTAATGCCAAGATCAGCAGCAGCAGCTACCGTGCCTTCCGCGCTTACCAGCAGCGGCTCCACACCACCTCAGACTGTCACTGCTGGCCCACTGGACAGATTCAACACGAGTTCCAGAGGACAGGGACATCCCCACACAGCTGGCAAGTGGTTGAGATGGAAAAGTTACAGGGGTGTAGGGGCAAGGGAAAAGTAGCACAGTGGCTATTCAGAATTCTCCCTTCAAGTTTTTTTGTTTTTGGTACCGGGTCTTGAACTCAGGACCTTGGGTTTGTGAGGCAGGCAGTGGAACCACTGAGCTAAATCCCCAGCCCTCTTCCTTCAAGTTTTAATTAGGGTTGCAAGGAAAACGAGTCCAGGTAAGGATGGCGCAGAAGCACATCGTGAGGGCACACCTGTGCAGCGGGAGGCCACGGTGCACGGTGAGCTGGGAGGAGACCTCCAGGGCCAGGGCGGGTGGTCTGCAGGGCAGGAGCTCAGGGACCCACTCCTGGGCTCCCACCAGTCTTTACTCCCTGACCTGCTGCCGGGGCGTCTCACTCTGACCCTTGTGGGCCTGACCCAGCCCTGGCTCCTCCCCATTCACCCTCTGAGTGCTGCCTCCACAGCTCGCTGCCTTCTTCCCGAATTTCTCACACCCAGGTGGGAGGAAAATGAGCAGTCTGATTTACCATGTGACAGCATGCAGGGTGGGTGTCATTCTGGACTGCAATTATTGAGGCTGAAGAGAAGGAAGCTGAGAACATTTAGGAAAAGCCACAGCTTCCTGAAGGCCATACTCCAGCAGGAGTGGAAGCAGGACAGGCGTGGGAACTGCCTCTTCCAACGTAAATCTTTAGCCCGGGCCTCTCGGTGCGGTGCCTTCAGATGAACTCTCTCCGCTGCATCTCTCAGCACTTGTGGTCAGGGTGGGACAATTTGCTGATCCAGATTCCCTGGTACTGAGGTCGCTCTGGACGGTGCTTGAGGTAGGGGCTGTCTGTTGTGCACATTACTGTGTGTCAGGCATCTGCAACAGAGTAAGGCCTCAACAGACACCCAGTGAATGCATCAGTGATACTGCTGCATCCAGCCACAGACTCCCAAATTCGTGGGTCAGACATGGGGAGATGGACTTCTGTGCTGCCTGACAGTGTGAATGCTGTCCTAACCAGAACACTGCCATGCATGGGCCCTCCAGACAAATCACTTACTGTTTGCTCAAGAGCAAATACAAATATCTTTGGGTCATCTGCTGGTTTCAATTGTGGCCAGTAAAGGAGAGTTTACCGTGTGGCTCAGACAGGAATCAATTTCCAGACTCCGCAAGCAGTGCCAAGGGTGCCAAGCTCCTAAACTGCCAGTCCTCAGCCCAGAGCAGCTCCGTCTTCAGAGGACATCTGCTAATATGTTGACACATTTATAAAAACTGTGGCAAAGTAGTGTCATATAAAGATTTACCATCTTAATCGTTTTTAAAGCATACAGTTCAGCAGTAAGTGCATTTACATTGCTCTGCAACCCTTCTGGAAACTCTTCCACCTGGCAAAGCCGAAGCTCTACACTCAGGATACAGCAGCTCAGTTCTCCCTGCCTTCAGTCCCTGGTAACCAGCCTTTGAATTTGTGTCTCTGTACTTGACTCGAGGTTCCTTATTTAGGTGGAATCACGCAGTATCTGTCCCTTTGGTCCGCTTCAGCTCACACTTAGCACAATGTCCTGGAGGCTCCTCCACTGTGACCTCTTGCAGCTCCCTCTTTCGAAGGCTGGAGAGCATCCCACTGTCGGACGCTCCACAGTTTGCCCATGTGGACATCTGCATTGCCCTTGCTTTGGGCTGTTGTAAGTATTGTTCTTATGAACACGAGTGAACGAGTGCCTGTTTGAGGACCTGCTTTCATTGTCCTTTGGGAGTGTATCCAGTGGAATTGCTGGATTATATGGTAATTCTATTTTTAATTTTTTGAGGAACTACCATACTGTTTTCCACAGCAGTGCATCATTTTATATTCCCACCAACGGTGCTGCAAGTGTTTCGATTTCTCCACAGCCTCCCCAACTATTTTGTTTTGTTTTCTTTCTTTTGTAAACCACAGTAATGGATTCCATGTGGGGAGTGGTTTTGCTCGTCACACCTGGGGGAGGTGCTGCTGGGCTAGCGGTGAGAGGCAGCGCTGGGCTGAAGTCTGAAGTCCTTCAGTCACAGCATAATCCTCTGCCACAGAAAATGAAGGGCCCCAAACACAGAGGGAGCCACACTGAGTGAAACTCAGATTTAGACTTTCAGGCTCACCTTTCATAATGAGTCTCTTCCTCCAACACCTGTGGGCCCTCTCTCCTTTGCTGAGATGGTCAAAGGCCGAGATCACCCCAAAAATCTGGCAAGCGAGGGAGAACTGAGAAGAAAGGCAACATTTCTTTTATTCAAATTTTATTGGAAGTTTACAAATGTATTACAGACATCGGTAAAACATCATATCCATTTTACAGGGCACAGATCTCAAGCAAAGTGTTCAGAGCAGTCTCTGGCAGAGCCCACACCAGAGGCCTGTGACAGGCCTTCTTAACAAGACACACCTTCACACTTGACACGCAGCAGATTCCAGCCTGCCTCACCACCTCAGGCCCTTGGAGGTTTGGTTTATGCACGTGAAGTTAAAGCAGGAGATGGGCAGAGCCACCCTGTGCAGGAAGGGACAGGGTCAGGGAGGCAGCCCTGTCAGGCCCTCACTCTCCAGAGAAAATGGATGACTCTCAGGCCTTCAAACATTAAGCTGGGCTCTATGACAGAAGCAAGAATACTTTCTGGAAAAATATGGAAATCCATTCGAGAGGCTGGAGAACAGACCTTATTGGTAAAAACTGAGAATTTCAGAGAAGCTTGATTAGTGACCTGCTGAATGTCATGGGCCAAATGCCCAGTGAGCCAAAGGGTGTCAGAAAACTCTCAGGACAGAATAAGAAAGCCCTTTCTATCTTAGCAAGTCATCTTGTTTAAATCACAGAAGTGTTCCCTAACGCTGTGTGACTTTTCTCTCCTTTTTATTCCCCTGAGGAAAGCTAGTTTTCTTGGCAGGAAGTAAGCTTATAAAACAGCCCAGCTCCCAACCGTGAGTCATGTTGTATGGAGTCTCATGTTCACTGAGCTACTCTTATGGGAAGATGGAAAAAGAAGCGAACTCTTTTTTGAGCTTGACCTTGATGATGACTTCTGAATGATCACACAGGTGTGCTCTGGTGCCTGCTGAGGTCCATCCAGAGGGACACAGCCCTGGAGACAAGGCCCAGGCCCCTTCATGCCCACTGCTCTTGCCCTTACAGAAATGGGCCTCAGGAGGTGGCCGTCTGCAGCGCCTCCTCAGTCAGAGCAGGTGCTGTGGAACACCACCTGCAGAGCCCAGGCCAAGGCTCTGGAGGGCCAGGCAGTTGCCAGCAGCAACTCCTCTTAGGTCAAATATCCACATAACTGGTTCATTTTTCCACTTTCCTGGGCCATGGTTGGATCCTCCTCAGGCAGAAGCATCTGGTTTCTGTTAGAAATACATGAGGAGCGCTTTCTCCTTTGGTAATTTAAATGCTTGTTCCCTCTCTCATTAGGAAGTGGGACTAGAGGAAGAAAGGGGGGAGTCTCGCTTGAGCACTGCAGAATGGACAGAGGCTGCCTATGCTAGCCGGCAAAGAACATGAGCGTGGAGGAGGAGGTTGAAGAAGTCTGTCTTTGTGCAGCTGACACGTCAGCTTCCTTCAGCCTCCACCATCTGAGGGAGAGAGAACATGGAGTCTCCCAGTTATTTATGATTGATGCTTCCTAATTATGTGCTGTTCTAGTTTTATTCCATGGCAAGAAAGCCAGGGTGGGAAGACAGATAAGAAGCAGTTTATAAATAAGAATCGTTATCAGACGAGTAAGATCAGTTCTAATCAACTGGTCCTGCCTGGCTGGAGTGGCCGGAGACTCCTGTGCCCACCTTTTCATGGGAGGTCCACAGCAATGCCTCCCTCACACCTGCTCAGGCAGCAGGGTGGCAGAGCAGGAGCTGTTGCCGGCCCTGCCCAGATGCAGCAATGGCTAGCAGAACCCAAGCAGCAAAAACTCCTTCTAGAGAAGAAATCACCACCTTATTACGGCACAGAGGTGAGGAGGTGCTGCCCCCACGTCTCACATTAGAAAAACAAAACTGCTGTTCACTCACCTGGTTGGAAAGAGAAAGGAAGGACTACAGAAGAAAAGGTGAGTGTGGACAGAAGGTGCCACAAGTCCAGCCCCAGGAGCTCTCCATCGGACATGTGCAAAAGCTGGCCACACGGTCTGATTTCCCTCACCTCAGTCACCGCCACCCCCACCCCAGCAGAGACCCCAGAACTAAAGGTCAGAAGCAAGGGCTTCCCTGCCCTGCTCAGAGCTAGTTCCCAGGGCGGCAGGCCTCGCAGGCCCACACGGGACACTCGGTGGCAGATGCTTCCTGGGCCCAGAAAGGAGCCAGTTCTGTGGCCACTGAATCCAGCAGCAGTAAGAAGTGGACAGAACTCTGAAGATGCAGGTCTGACCAAAGACACGTGCAATCGTGGGGGAGGTGGAAAGGAAACCGGCCAGGACACCAGAGGAGAGGAAAATGGGAAAAGATCACTCTTCTGAAAACCAGGCAAAGAAGAGGAGGATGAGCCGATGATCTTGAGCAGGGGAGTGGAGGCCCACTCGGAGAAGCCACTTGACCAGCAACAGCTAAGGTTATGAGGAGGAATCAGGCGAGAGCCTCAAGTTCCTGCCTTGGCAAAGAGTGCACGGAGTTTCTGGGATGTGACCTACGGTGGCAGGTGTGTCACCACGGACAGCAAGGTGACGCCCTGTACAGGACACCCTCTCGGGCCGCTCACTGGGAGCCCCACTCTGAGGAACTGGCCTTCTTGCAGTGACCCTCTGTAAGGCACCTGGCTGCATCTGGGTGAGGGAAGAAACCTGCAGTGCAGGCAAGACAGACGGAGGTCATCTTGCCAGGGCAGTGCAAGCTGCGGCCGGGATCTCACTGCCTGTCCTGCGCTGGTGGGAAGTCCCTGGGAGCTCTCTGGATGGCTGGGCCTGCAGTGACCCCAGGCACTAGGTCCCTGTGGGGAAGGTCGGTCAGGTCTAGGCCACCTCTTTCTGCTGATGATGCTGGAAGGCTTACTCGGAAATTTAAGAGCTACTACTTTAAATGCGAGAATTTCTTTCACTGGATTTGGAGCCACACAGGATAAACATTTCCAACCCTTTGCTAAGTTAAGGGATCCACCCTTCCTCTCTGTTTTCTTTTTCCAACAATGCCTTTTTATTTCAATCAATAAAGGAGCTCAAAACTTCAAATTGGACTCCCCCAGTTCCCACCAGAAACCTGACACTTTAGTAGCATGGTGTTGTACATAATTTCTTAATCAACTTGCCGAGCAGTTTACAAACCTACTATACAAACGTATTAAAGTTAATTCTCCAGAGGCTTGAATAATTAGTGAAGCATTTAGATATGAAGATAGCATGCGGAAAACAGTCACAACCAACATTTGCATTGCTTTTTTAAAAAATCAGTGACAATGACAAATGTCATATTAATACCTGAAAAGCAAATTATTTTAATACATCCTGAATGGAGTTCCATACCATGTTCTTTACAACTTTCCTTTCCCCAGACCCATCTGGGATGGCATCTGAAGAGCCACTTTTCACATTCCCTCCATAAAAATATTAGAAAATGTCAACTACTACACTGGGAAGGGGCCACGCCCACCTCACCAGGGCGGATGGCCGCCGACACGCACCGTGGACTATGTGGACAGAGCAGCTCACTAAGGGGTCCTCGAATGGGGTATTTCAGCTGCTACAGTCCACTGAGGGGAGGAGGAGAATGGACAAAGAGCAGGTGCTTCATCTTTAGCTGAAGCCAGGCAGGAAGTTTTATTTTACTATAAACAGCACAACCGTTCAATGTCTTCTTTAAGCCCTCACATTTGAGCCCGTTCTCTTTCTGACCAAGTTCAAAGTTCAGAATGAAATCTCTTTCAACAAAGTCTGTTTTTCCGAGTCCTTCCCCTGAAATCTCAGCAGCCCCACCTTCCTGGGTGACCCCGCGTTCCGGTCACTGAGCTTGTTAAACCGACTATCAGGCCGGGGCTACTCAAGGCAGCTGTGGCCTCCCCTCTCCTTCCTGTCCGGAACGTCTGCTTCCTGACTCCCATCCTGGGACCCTTCTGCTGTCTGCGTTCAGATCGCCCGTTCCTCTCCAAGCCTGCAGGCAACACCCCCGCCCCCCGAGCCCCCAGGACCCGTCGGCCCCAGTTCCAAACGCTCAAATTCATTGCTCTGAGGACAACCGGTTGTCAGGCAGCAGCTCCGTCTGCCTTGGAAAAAAGAAAGCAGGTAATACAATCCAGGAAACATGGGCACCAGAAAACAACATCAGAACAACGTCATGCGGACAGCACGCAACAGCACCACGCACGGGCACTTAGTTTCCCCACGGAATAGATCGACATTAAGCAACTTCACGCTCCGGGCAGGGACGGCGTTTCCCCCTGGACTTTACTGACCCGGCTGGCATCGGCCGTCAACGAAAGTTACATCTGCAATTTAAAAAGTTACTATCACTTTGTAGAGAATAAATTCTATTGGGGTGGGACGGGGCTTAAGGATAGCGCCCTAGGATGGAAGAGAGCATCAAATGCTTTGGGAAGAATGAACTTTTTTCAGCCACAAAAAGCCAAACTGAATATACTCCTTCGAAAAAAGTCTCACTGACATGTAACAAATTTGTCTAGTAAAAAAAAGGTGGCCCTGGGCCACCTTCGGATATCACTCAAAGACAATGCTGGATGTGCATGCAAGTCCCCGCTGCGAGATAGAAATTCCTTTGATATTACAAAATACAAAAATATTTTCTCAGAACTCTCATTTACATCGCATTTACAATGGACAAGTAATAACTTAGTCTCAGATCCTGGCTAATAAACAAAATGACTTACTGGAAAAATGGTCCTAAAAGTAAGAGAACCGGGAAACAAGCGAGCGGGAACGGTTGAGCCAGGACGCAGGGCAGGCGGTGGCCGACCCGGCGTCGTCTACTGTTTCCTGGGGACGTGCAGGTGGACAGCGCGCCCGAAGCGGCACTCGGCCCCCGGCCCACGCCCTAGGAAATGATGCAGTTTTTGCTCTTCTGTCTTTTCCTGCCGTGCAGCTGCCCCCGGCCCCCCAAGGTGGAGGCCTTGGGGACCCCGTAGGAGCCGTACTTGTGCAGCAGCTCGTCGCTGGTGACGTAGCGCAGGCGCGCCGGCTGCGGAATGGGCTCGCCGAGGAAGAAGCCCTCGTTGTCGGACTCGGAGGAGGACGAGCAGGTGGAGCACCAGTCGTACTCGGCGAAGCAGGGCGCCCAGCGCTCCCCGACGGCGTTCTGCAGCGCCAGGTCCGACACGGTCCGGGGGCACTGGCCGCACAGGTCCCGGCGGCCGCCCGGGCCCGGGCTGCCCTGGAAGCTGCGCTGGCGCGCGAACGGCTCGCAGTCCTCGCGGGCGCGCAGGCCCGGCCGCCCCTTCAGGCGGGACAGTGCCTCGCGCTCGCCGGCCAGGTGCAGCGCGTTGTCTGAGCGCGAGCGGCGCGAGCGGCGGGGGCGGTGCGCATGCGCGTGCGTGCGCGGGCGGCGCGCCTCGGGGTCGCGCGGGGAGGCCCGGCGCCGCGTGCGCTCGCTCAGGGGCTGCAGCCGCGCCGCCTCGGGGCCGGGCAGCGGGCCGCCCGCCAGCCCCGCGTCGAAGTCGAAGCTCTGGTGCCTGCGCCCGCGGGCCTGCAGGTCCCGGTACCCCGCGGGGGCGCCGAGCTGGCGGAGGCCGCCGTCTGCCTCCTGGTACTGCTGCGCCGACAGCAGGCTGCGCACCGACTCGGCGCTCCGGAACTGCACGGACGAGTTGAGGGTACCCAGGGTGCTCAGCTTCTCGGACACGTTCATTCCCGAGTCTTTGCTGAGGTCCGGCATGGAAAACCGCGACAGGTGCTCCTGGCGCTTGGCCCCGCCTTCCGCGGAGAAACCTGGGGAGAGAGCAGAGGGCCAGTCAGTGCCGACGACGCGCGGCGGCGCGCGTGAGTGTGCGTGTGCGTGAGCGTGGTGCGTGCGTACGCATCACCTCCCCACCGAAAGGATCAGTGCTTTTGCCGTTTCTGGACACTGACGGCAAGCCAGCTGGAAGGCAGCAGCTCATGGTCATCCCTGCCACGGGTTGTTCTTGCCTCCCGCCAGGCCACTCCCGCCACCGGACCAACCTCCAGCAAACCACTTGGCTGTATCTATTGAAGCCAAGTGGACAGCATTTGTGCATGTGTGGATTGCGAATAAAGCCACTCTGAATATCCTGTCCATTCTTTATGGGCTATGCCGGCATTCCTTTAGTATACAGCCCAGAATGGAGGTCTGGGTCTTTCATGGCTCCTCTTGGTTATATGCGGACAGGAGTCAGTATACGGGTCCCCAATAGGTTTAGGGATGTGCAGAGCAGCTCTCTTCTCTTACAACACGCTGGAACTGGGAACAACTCAAATGCTGATTAACAGAACAGCAAACTGTGGGATTTTCTGCTATCATTTATTATAAGGAACCTGGGCTTCTTGGGAAATAGATTTTAGGCTAGAGGAAAGGAAAGTGAAAGATGAACCTGTAGCATCTTGTAATGACCAAGAGTAAGGAAATATTTAAAAATATGATCAGGAAAGAACAGAGGGCCTACTTGGAAGGGGTTCTTGGTGGCCAGATCTGAACACTTTGAGCAGTAAAATATTTACGTACAGCAAATATTTACAAACTATCGAAACAAATGGGAATTCTTGATTCCAAACTGATAACAGGTAAATGCACTGGTACATCAGTAATGGGGGAAAGAGAAGACTTGTGTACAATAGCCTGCAAGGGCCAAAAAGTGTACTAAACTTAGGGGTAAAAACGAATGAGGAGGCATGGTCTTAAAATGTTTCCTCACATATTACTCATATTATAAAGGAAAAAGTAGTGACTGTGATAGCAAAATCAGACCACACCTTTTCTTGAAATCAAAGCTTTTCCTGAGGAGATTCAACTAGACATTTTGGCCTCCAAGTGGGACGTCCCAAGAACACATTATCTCATATTCCAGTCAAGAATGCACACTGCAGTGTGTTCAGAAATGAAGGAGACCAACCCTAAAAGGAGGGACGCTGTATGAAGAGGAGGAGGAGGGGGAGGAAGAAGAGGACTATGTTCCTTGGTTTAAAAAATCAAAACGAAACAAAAACTCAGTATCATAAACTGTACAAAACAGGCCGAGGGAATGTTCTAGACCAGTGCTGATGAACCTACGGCATGCATGCCACAGCGGGCTGTTTGTTATCACTGCAAGCTCTAAAAGGTTTGCCATCACTGTTCTTGACTGAAAGCTGCTCTTAAATGTCCTCCAGAGCCCCTGTGTTAAAGACTTTGTCCCCGCTTCTGGGAAGTGGTAGAAACTTTACGAGGTGGAGGGAGGTCATGGGGCAGGGCCCCCTGGAAGGTATATCAGGATCCCGGCCCTCCACTTCCCCTCTCTTCTGCCCCCCAGGCCCCACGAGGAGAGTCTGCCCCACTGCACACTCTGCCACATGTTCTCCCTCACACGGCCTCGAAGGCAATGAGGTCACAGGACCAGGGACTGACTCCTCCGAAACAGACCTCTCCCCTTACCGTCTGGCTGTGTAGGGTGCTTTGCTGCAGAATCAGAAAGCCAACACGGGCCCCAGGAACACGGCAAACTCTATTCTACCTAACCCTGAACTGGAACTTGCTCTGCAGGAAAAACAAGTGCTTAAGGAAATTTCTGGTCAGTTAAAAAAACAAATGGAACATGGGCAAAAGAGAGAAGTAAACCAGATTTCCTGTGGTCAGTGAGTAATTGTGATGATGGTGGAGAAGACCCTTATGCGTGGGAATTATGCACAGAAAGTTATAGTAATAAATGGCCAAGATGGGCGTGACTTGCTCTCCAGTGGTTCAGAAGTGCAGTGTGTGTGTGTGCCTGGTGCATGTGAAGGCAAAAGATCAGGGGAGCGGAATGTTAGCAACAGGTACACCTAGGAAAAGAAGTGGTGTTTGCTCTACTTTTGCAATGTTTAACTATTTTAAAGTGATTGCTTAACAAATTGGAGCATTTTCATATAGCATGATGGCTTTCAATCCTGGATAAAATGTGGAAATATCTGGAGACATTTTTGGATGTTCTGACTGGGAAGGTGTGGCCAGTCCTGTGGGCAGAGGCAGCAGTACACAGAACGCCACCCCTAGGAATTATCCAGCTGACATGCAGACAGTGCCAGAGACAAGAAACCCTGAATATGATGGGACACTCCACAATAATGGGTAATGAATGAATAATTACGTCTTCCCAACGTGGGTGAGTCTCACAGAAAATAGAGAGGGACTCTTGAAGAACATGTGTGGTGTGCTTCCACTTATGTGACATCTGAGAACAAGCTAAAGCTGCGGATGGTGACCGAAGTCAGGGTACAGTCTCAAGAGGAGTTTGCAGGACCCTGGAATGCTTCTGTGGCTAGAACTGGATGGAGATTACAAAAGGACAGATGGGGAGACTCAGAGGTGTCGTTTTAATACTTGTTTGCTTCCCTTCATGTAAGTTACATCTCAATAAAAAGTATAAAAATGAAGCAGTATCAGTGAAAGTCAAATGTTAACACTGATTTTGCCTTCAGGGAAACTAGTTACCCACGGGGACAGGTGCCAAGACTCCTTAGAAACCCAAATCTCCAGGTGCTCAGAAAGGACATCTTATTTCCACACAGCCACATGCAACTTCTCCTGTGCCTTAAATCATCGTGAGATTACTTATGATACCTAATAGGATGTAAATGGGACACAGTAGCTGTCACACTACTGTGCAGGGAATCATGACAAGAAAAAAGGCTGTGCGTGTTTCGTGCAGATGCAACCACCACAGGCCTAACGACATTTTCAGTCCTGGGCTGGTGGAATCTGCAGAGGTGGAACCTGTACAGACGGCCAACTGTATTCTGCCAAATCCTGTACTAGAAGGTAATTTTAAAAAATCATTTAATTACTGGGATAATTGTCAGAGCAAGCGGTGCCTGGTCCTCCCGCTTCTGCTTTCCCTGCTGTTTATCTGTGACACACACATCATAAAGGCTGATTTCGCACCCAGAGCCTCCCCAGTTGGAGGCGGAGGGAGAGGAGAACGCGAAGATGTGGATGAGGAGTCTGAACAGTGAACTCTAGCAAGGAAGGGAAGGAACCCTGGAACCAAGCTGTCTAGGTGAGAACCACGGCCCTCGCAGGCTTTCAGTCAAGCTCTTGGGTGGGATCAGGGTCAGCTTCCACTGCCTGGCAAATACTACCCATTTCCAAACACGCTGCTCACTGAACCCCGTATTTTACGAGCCCTGACTGGAAATGCTCCCAGGAACATCCTCCATGTGCACAAGTTCCCGTGTCCGTGTGGAGGCATGTATGAAGAAGCGTGGCTTTTACTTTGCTGGATGTGCTTCTGCCCGCCGAGGTGTAGGACACCCTCAGGATGCCCTGCGCACCCCCTCGAGAAGCGAGGTGCCAGAGTGGTGCTCGAGTGAGCCCAGGTCTGCTCTCGGTTGTGCCCACGGGAAGCCAGTCTCCTGGGGAAGCATGCATGGGAGAGCAGGAATGTCTCTTCTGATTCCTGAACTCCCATTTCCCTCTAGAGTCTTCTTGCATGGGGGGACATGAAAGAAAGGCTGCCCAGAGATGAGCAGAAAGTGTGTTCTTGTCTCAAAAAAGGGTGGTTCTGTGGTCAGTTTCATCATTGGCAAAACCCAGCATCTTCGTGATCAATTAGGGGACCTGACTCCCCCCTTTTGCTCTCCATCATCACCACCATCAGCTACTGCTGCCCCTCTCCTGCCCTGCATGGCCGCGGTGACAGCCCTGCTCCCTCTCCAACACACTTACAGCTGATTCCCCTCCCTTGGATGCCCTCCCGTCTGCACTGCGTAGAGAGGCCACCATCCCAGTGCCGCCTGCCCTGGCCATCCTTTCCAAAGTAGCAAAGCTATCTGTCCCCTGACCAGCCACCCTCTCTTGGACTTGACTTTCTCTTAAGCTGCCCACCCTGACCTATTTGCTTAAGTTTGTGCCTAAGTTTGCAGCTGAATGAATGTGTGTGCGTGTGTGTGTGTGAAGGGATCTTGTCCTGTGTTCTCTGCACTCCCACAGAACTGGCAGCACCCAGAGTGCTGTTGGTGCACAGTACGTGATTGTAGGATAAAGGCAGATGAACCCCATGCTGCCCACAGCTTGGAGAAGGCCACCATCCCTTGACCTGGAGTGAGTCACGGCTGTAATTCAGACAGGCAGAATTCCAAACACTGGCCACAAAATGCCACGGCTGCACGGCCCCTCACTGTCCCCGGTAGGTCACTGGGTGCCCACGACCTGGGCTCCTACACTGTTAGGGTGGAAGGTGCTGTGGGGCACACATAGCTCTCTAAACTGCAAAATGGTCTTCACCTGATGAGTCACAGCTCTGGAGAGCAAACTGTGGGCTTGGTTCACATTCCACCTCCAGAAACGCTTCCTCACTCACTGCCGCTGCACAGAAATGCACAGCCGCCTCCTGGCTCGGTGACCTGGGCAGTTTTTAAACCTCTTAAGGTGCATCGGCAGACAGGCACAATAACAGTATCGGAGTGCTAGCTATAGTATGGTTAAGTGACAAACATTACGGGGCTGCCAAGAGTCGTCATGACAGTAAATCTATGATATTTGTTCATCTGTCTTCTCGGCTGAACCAAAGAGGGTGGGAATGTGCTACCCCATCCCAGAATCTGGTATGCAACCTGCAGGAAGAAGGACTAAGGCCTGAAAGTCCCCAGGGGAAGACCGCATGTCCCAGGGGTCTGACAGCCAGCCAGGTTTAAGGCAAACAAATGCTGTTTGAGAGCTTGACTGTGGACTGAGAAACGACCCACACAGTGCTTGGCACACACTGGTGTTCACTTGGACGTGAGCCCGGTGTAAATTTGTC